CCGCGCGCGCTTCACTCCTCCACCATCTGTGCACCCTTCCTCCTCTACACACCGCGTTCGACATCTACAATTCTCCTGATTCTCCAGTGGACGCGCATGTGGCGTCGCGCTTCGAGAACATTCAACAGCTGACAGTGCATGCGCCGTCGTGCTGTATATATACTCAAGGTCGGCGCTCGCTCGCTCAGTTGCCGCTCGTCGGTTGGTTTGTACGGCGCGTCGACGTCCAAGGTCGCGGTGAAATGAATTCCAACGAATCCACAAACACAATGATCGACGTCCCTTCGACCAGCGCCGCCCTTTCGCATACGTGTGTACGTGTTCACTCATTTAACACCCCCTCCTACAACCACGTTAACCAATTTAGCCATCGACCCAAGTAAGTCGCAATTTAACACCCCATTTCACAACCACGTTAACCAATTTAGCCATCGACCCAAGTAAGTCGCACTTTAACACCCCGTTAACCAATTATATGGTCCGCATCCTCCTCAGTGTTCCCCCGAGGGAAGCTGCGGGCAATTTTTTTTTCATTGACTGGATTTTTCGGTCACGAAACGATGCTCACTTTTTCGCTCGCTACCAGCGACGCCGACGCCGACACCGACATATTTATTTCTGCGAAACAAGCTCTTTAATGCTATCGCGTTAGAGCAGTGGCTTTGTGCCTCAAAATGAACGTTCGTGTTCGCTCAGCTGAACCTTAACGCAGTTTCGGCGGTGACCAATGTAAATTTTCGCGCGTGATGATGGCATCTGACAGGCAATGACATCCTTGAGAGAGCGTTATATTTCCGACGGTCTTGGCCACATTGATGTGGCATTGCCCCGTCACCTGCATGTGCTGCAAGTGGGTCAGGCGAAGCACTGACGTGCTTTCTGGCGTCAAGTCACGCAACAACCTGAAAGAGTGGCCACCATAGTTCGCCGCTCACTGTCACCAGAGTCTCCGCGCAGCTGCACAGATGGACATCTTGATGAGTTCCCGCAAACACATCCACCTACGCTTGCTTGGATACATTGAGCCAGAAGAGTGGTTATAGAGGCCAGTCCCCACATCCTCGCACATAAATTTTACTGTCTCCTCCAGAAGCAAGCCGTAAGTTGCCCGTGCGGCTGGTCAAAAATATCATCGCACAATTGAGTATGCGCCACAAGGATACATCCCACCACTCATCACTGGGTCACGATTAAATATGGCGAAGAATGTTACACCAAAAACAAAGGGATGCGAAGCGACGGCAATGCTCACCGTCCTTTAGAACGAAGACAGCATCACACTTTTTTCTAACGACTTATCATGCAATTTTCAAACTGATACCACGCTTTTTGAAGCCCTGCGTGATTTGTGGTGTTTCTAGCAGTTTTACAACACACAGTTTGCCCACTCTAATTAGATATACCCCAGAGGATATCCTTTGACGAATAAGCTACGGAGCTTTAACACCGCACAGGATGATGCGAGAAAATATTATCGGTGTCACGTGATTTCATCACTACGTCCGTTGAAAAAATCACACAGAAGCAATGTTAAGCACTTAAATTATTGATTATGGGGATTGAATCTTCATTTCATCGTGAATACTTACGATGTCCAAGACTCTCCATTACAGAGATACCACAGTTTTTGTAATTGGAATAAATGACGTGACCTTCTTTTCGAGTGCTGGGATCTGTATGTTGAGAAACCAGCAAATGTATGAGTAAACGAAAAGATTACAACTCTTTAGTTTTCTGTATGACATTTTCATCGCTTGTGTAGGCAGAGTATAATGAGTTCAATACGATACAGTACATAATTAAGAACGGGTCAACGCGCTTGTTAAAGTATCACCTACATCAATGAATGATCAGCTATGCTTCCAGCTCTTCTCGTTTTTAGCGAGAGGTGTGGGCCGTACATCTGCAGGCTGTGGGAATGGGCACAAGAGACCCACTACAGAGATGATATAGAGATGAAAAAGTGGGAAGTGTGGCGCGAAATGCCTTAGCATATGCCCAGGAATCCATCGGCTAGACGTGGCCAAAAATGGCTAGGCCTGGTTGGCACGGCCATGATAACCTGTCTTGGTTTGGCCCGTTACAGCGGAGTAATGAACATCACAGACGGACGCCTACAGTCAGTGGCTCCAGCCTCTTTTTCAGAGAGACTCTGGTCGTAGGAGAGTAACTTAGGAACTGATCGTTGAAGTAACTTAGGAACGGAACAAATCAGAGACTATAACATTAATCTTGATTGATTACAAGGAACATGACACCATTTAATGAGAGCGAAATCAGTAATTTACCAAACTTCATAACATGTTTGAGGGGTTTTTTCGCTCTTTTAACCAAGTTCCCTATGGTGAAGAAAAAACTGTCACTTCAATTTAGCATGCTATAATAGATGAGGCCAAAAAGGTAATATAGTTAAACGAAAAAAGTTGTCATACCTGAGTCGACCATTGTAATAATTGCGTCTGGCGTGTCACCTCCCGTGTATTTCACCGCGACTTGTTTGCTGCAAACATGAAAGTGATATTTATCAATCGCGAAATCTTTCTGTATTTGTGCCTTACCTCACAATCACCGACCACTGGAGATCTTGAATAGCTTACTGAAACTATTACGTTCATGCTTTTAGTAAATCATTTTTGATAACAGATGACGCAGCGGCTGAAGCTTTTTGATGTATATACAAAAAAAACTAAAACGAGTTTCATAGCACTGCTAAGAACGATGTGTGATACAAACCGATAGTTACGAGTGATTATTGTAAACTTGCGTCAGCTACTAATCATTTATTGGAGTGTTTCATGACCAAACCTCGATTCGCGCAATCCCTAATAACTACTACCCAAAGTTGATTGAAGAAAGCCAGATGACATACATTCTGCAAAATGTCTAAAGGAGGCTCACTTCCTTTTAATTCTTGTTTAGCGAGTCTTGTACGTACGACCTAAGCATTAGCGCATTAGCGACTTGTTTCGAGCCTAATATGAACCAAACACTACAAATGTTGCAGTGCGCCGAGACCTTGCTAGAGATACTGCAGGAATTTATTTCTTTCGGGCACACCTAAGCAATGATTGCAGGAATGCCTGAAGGCTGAATGCGCATTCATGACGTTTCGAAGCCACGAACATTCTGTAGTTTCGATCGTGACGGCGCAGCTGTAGGCGTGCGCCGATAAATCGATGGCCTCAGCGGACATACTCAGTTAAAATGACAAAACATAAAACATTGTGGACCTACGTACATTTGATTAGCTTTATCATGTAGTGTAGCTAACTTTGTGCTACCTATGACTGATATGCCCGTCGCTCACATTCGCAATACCACCTCAGAAGGTGTTCCAAGGCGTTCATCGATGAATTATGTGCCGTAGGTCATATAATATGCATACGAAATTTTCAAAAGCAGAACATTTCTTATTCGCACTATGGGACGCATCAGCTTGGGTGGCGGCGTCATGCACATTCCCACCGCGCATGATCGCGTCTGGAAACATGCTGGCACCTCGTGCTGGTCCAGGACTGTCGCTCGCCTACTCCTCTCTCCCCTTCCAAGATCGACGCAGGCAGCTTCTCCTAGTAAAAGAAAATGGCCGCGTATTTGCATGTAATCTGCAAATGTCGTAGAAAAACGATAGTCTTGCGTGTGGAGAGAATGAACAAAATATTATTTGGTGTTCTGCGCAAGAAAATCTGTGAATGGTATTCCGAAGGCGCTGCGTTGGAGTACCTCGAGCGTGCAGCGGAGCCGAACGAGCACATCACGACAGGTCACACGTGAGACATGAGCGTCATTTAGCAGTCTTCTTGGAAAACGAAGCGTGCGGCCCTGAGACGGGCATGCGCGCCCGTCTCAGAGGTGATAAAACGTAGAACGCAAGGCGCCAGATACGGGCCACCACCGTCTCGTCTTAACAAAGCGTTGGGAACACTCGCCTTTTTGTGCAAGCGTTGCATGGTCAGCACAGCGTGATAGGTGCTACGGTCCTTAAGATTACTTATGTATGCATTTTCTAGTAAAAGACGCACATGCAGAATATATGCGTGTTGTTATGGTGCCCCAGATATGCGCAATAACCCCTTTTTAATTGACAACTGCACACGTATGAACGTTAACTATTGAGAAACATTGGTGGGCACTGCCGCTGGAGTAGGCCGTTTCAAGTACCTAATGCCGATAATAGTGGACAAAGAGACAGACAGACAGACAGACAGACAGACAGACAGACAGACAGACAGACAGACAGACAGACAGACAGACAGACAGACAGACAGACAGACAGACAGACAGACCAAAACTTTTGCGTTGGAGGTCTTGACTCGAGTAGACGCGATGGAAGCAACTGTACCTTAAACCAGTAATGGGGCACTACCTAACACATGCGTCCCACCACTCGTTGAAGGCAACCTTTCTCCTTTACTCACTAAGTAAGAATAGTAAAGACGAAATAAAATCAAGCAATCTCAAGCCATAACCAATAACGCAGCATTCACACGATGCCCTCATCACTCTGCGACCCATTTACTCGAATTCCCCGCGTGGGAATAAGCGGATGGCATTTTTCTTTCAAACACCTGACTGTTTACTTTGACAGATACAATTGAGGTTGTAGCGGGCGTACGAAGCTACATTTGATTGATTTTGTGGGGCTTAACGTCCTAAACCGCTATTTCATTATGAGAGATATCGTAGTGGAGGGTTCCGGAAATTTTGACCACCTGGGGTTCTTTGTACGACGCTACATTTAAGCACACAAGACACGGGCTCAACCATTTACTTGTAAGTTTCTGCGCGTTCAATGCCTCACACTTGTTATTTAACTATTCACAATACGGTTTGGCGAAAACACCCACAGAAGGAACTTCACTCAACACTGTCAAACTAGAACGAAAATATCCTTTTTCCCATAATCAAGGCTCAGTAACACTTATATTTAACGTCGAACCGGACATTGCTTCATGCGCAAAGGCTGATGTACTCCTGGTTGCTGTAAAACGATTGCTATTAAATTATGAAGAGCACCAACAGTAAATGATATTAAGAGAGAGGGAATACTTTATTAACAGGATCTTGCGTGCAGGTAGTAGCATAAGTAGATATACGTCACCACGCATGCTTGTATTCCTGTTTTCACGTAACCATCACGTTAACCGTGTGCTATGCCGGCAGCTCGGACATTCCCTACTATTTCACAGTTTATGTTTATCTTGAATACTCAACGCGAACAGGACAGTTAATTAAGAAACTAATGCTACCACTCATGGTATGGTTGAACTAATTAGTTCCTCAAGCATAATAGACGAGGTGCCTTAGGAATGGTCAGAAGCTTGGCACACTGCTGTTATGCCACTACCGTCACTATACCACTTTTATTGCTATATTTTTACAGAAAAAGCTGTTAGAAGATCAGCACTCGGGTCTAGCGCAGAGCCGTAGTTGCCCGCCACCGCCGCCACCGCTTTTACGCCTGAGAGTCCACACTGAACGTCAATGCCTCTGCAAAGGCAATCTGTGTAAAGGCCAGCAATCGAGCCCGCCTGACACGATCGACTCAACGACGTCATCAAGCGGTGGCGCCGGTCTGTCACGCAACGCACAGCGAGTTCCCTCAGCCCACGAGCCCGTTGAAGCATTAGGCGCCTTCCAGTCTCGAGTCTTACGCAATGCGTGGGAACGTCACTCGTCCTTGGCGGCAACCACGCGCAGCGGCTCCGGATTTGATGAGCATGACACGGCCCAGAGGTGGGCCCCATTGGAGGATTATGACATTACAGCCAGCGGCGCTTCTGGTTGGACGTTGGTGACTCAATGGATCTACCCGGTGCCTATAAAAATAGCCCGGCGGTGCGTCGCCAGCAGCGGACCTATGTGTCAGAGAGGCCTCTCGTCGGTTCGACTTCTTTCAGTATCGGCGCGGCCAGTGTCCTTGTAAGCGGCGAGTTTCGTGGCGCCCTTCGTAACCTCGTAGGCGGTGCGCTTCGTAACAGCAGTTGACTTATGCGGCAGAGAGAAGCCGATGAATGCGTGCGAGAGAAGACATCTCAGCTCTTCGAGTCCCTAAGCTGTCGGCCCCTGTGCCGACTTTGTAACGCCTCTATTTCTATGCTGTACATAAACCTTGCCTTAACTCACCGTCGTCTCGTCCGCTCGTCTATCAGCTCTGCGCAGAAGCAGTCGAGAGCTGAGTAACACACGCTACCAAACGGCTGGTGACCTTGGCGGCGGAGTTCGAAGCAGTGGCGCCTTCGGAACCGTGTTGGCGTAGCGCATTCGTAACACCGCCCATATCCACATCACGCGAAAAAAAATATATATTATCAACAATACAGCGGGGCCTGAACTAAAGCCCACTGGGTGCCAGCCCATTATTCTACCACTGACCGACACCGGTGCTTGGGAGTTACTGTCAAAGTTGCATTAGGCAGGCTTGATGTCGGCAGTAGTAAGTGGTTCGTGAATCTTAAATGAAAATAAAAGTGAGCCCCATAACTATCTCTCAGGGGGGAGAACACCTAAACAGTAGCTCACGATGGGTGAGGGTGTAAGTAGGGATCAAAAGAATAGAATTGAAAGGTATAGAGATAGAGAGCGGAAGAGAGCGAGGCGCAGGGATAGCCACATACGGAAATCTTGAGAAGATAGGAAAGATGGACACGGTTGCAGGAGTCCGAGGACGGGGCTCCACTCGGTGAGTGTTCTTGTCGGCGTCAGGAGATTGCGTAGGGCGAGCCAGTCGGCCAGAGCTGCGCTGTCACCGGAGATCGCGGGGGCACAACCGGTCGGCACGAAATCCAACGAGCGAGTCCACTTGATGTCGGGAAAGCAATCGCGTTAATACGGCTTATAAAGCGTTTTGACACAGCGAAAGAACAAGCAGCCATCGCACAATCCGAATTGCGTATAACGAGTGCGTCGTTCAATGCTCTAACCCATTACAAAAGTTTTTTTCCCTTCAGCTAATACCTGTAGCGCTTACCCACTTCAGGAATAATTCCTCATCATCTTCAGCCACTACATGAACACTTGGCCCAAAATTTCTCGCAATAGTTTAGCGGATACCACGCTTCTCAGAAGAATTACGAGAAATAGCATGGCGAATGCCGGCCTACTACCCAAAACATTTTAATATTGCCGTAGTGGGCATCAAGTAAGTGTGTTTGCCGTAGTTATTTAATGAGTGCAATGGGGAACTACGCAAGGTATGAGCCTCCGGTCGATGTCAATCAGCTCATCGGTTTGAGCATCATCGTTTGTGTCAAGCTCGTCAGAGTGATCGACAAACGCTCGTTACCTCGTGACCAAGAAAAAAGGCCCTCTTTAATGTTTTGTCGTGAAATATATACAGTCAGAGTGATCACATGACTACCGTGATAACATGATAAAGAAAACCAAGATAGCGCGTGTTTGGCACTTGTCTCTGGAGCAGGTGGCCACGGAATGCAGCAGGATGACGTCACATCTTCCCCGTTTTATAAGCATCGTGGGCCTGCCAAAAGAGGGAAGCAT